AGAGCACCTACGAACAGGCGTGGAGGAGAAGTAGGCTTGGGATCTGCAGGGAGTAAAGGCTAGCACACTGCGCTCAGATGCTCACGAGTGTTTGGGGCTGGCTGCCAGCCTGTGGATCTCCCTCTCACCTCAGTCACGATGATCACCTGATCACAATTAACCACTACTATCCCTGTTTATTAGTAAACAGACATTATCAGAGAGGGGAGTGTTCCTAGAATGTCTTCACCCAGAGAGGATTACACTCCTTGGCATTGGATCAAGGCACCATCAAAAGTCCCACAGTGTTGACACCTTAATCCACTGTGTCTCTAGTCCTGGGTGGGGCTCTGGAGGATAGTGAGAAGGATCAATGCAGCCGAGCCCCTTCCTTATCCAGCAGCCACTCTGAGGGAACCATGGGCAACCCCTCCAGTGCTATTTCCTCCCCCTGGACACGTGCAGAGGGTCAGCTATGAGTCAGTCTCAACCCAAGGCGGTACATCACAACAACAGTAAGGTGGGGCTCTACACTGAGATGGATGAGGACACACATGGGCCACCTGCTTAGGAAACAATGGCCCCACAATGTCCTATGAGCGAATCCGGAACATTATTCAGTGGGGGGGCTGGGGTTCAGCCCCTCAGGTAAAACTAGGGAACAGCTGCTTCCTCCAAGTAAGAAAAAGGACCTACTGCCACCAAGTCCAAGCAGCCCCGAGTGGAGCCTCCAGGGACTTTTCAGCAGAGGTAAATTGTATTCAAAGATACTGTCATCCTTCTTCCTCGGAGCAGAGGCTAGATTCCAACCTGCTGCCTTTGGGTTGGCAGTACAACTCCCTACCGACTAGGCCCAGGGGCTTCTCAAAGCAGAATGTACAGCTGTCACGCTCATGAATGAAAACAGATTTGTGGTTGGTAGGGAGATGTAAAGGGGAGTTCTGATGGCTTAGTGGTTAGACTCTAGGATACAATCGCAAAGTCCCGAGGTTCGAATCCGTGGAATCGTCCGTATTCTTCCCCCCACATCACAGCCCAAGAGTCTCTGCTTTGACAGTCATGATTTAGTCATTCCCTTGATGAGCTGGGATTTGGTGTAACCCACTCCCTGGGGGATGTCACACAGGGGCTCAGCTACATGAGGAAATATGCAACAAAGGAGGGACAGTTTACCGCCTCTGAAAACCACTAGAGGGTGAGCTATGGGTCATTTCCAATTCGACAGCCAAGAAGAAGAGCAACTGGGAGATCTCAGGTCATCACTGCGCCCTCCAGGAGCTGCGGCCCTCCTTACCCTTCAGCACCCTCCACATAAGGCTCAAGGCCTGCTCATAACCCTTCCCAACTAATTTTGGAGAAGTCTATCAGGTTCCAAACCTTTCAATATGGCATCAGCTGGAGTCTCCCCTAAATCCCCCACGTCAGAAGCAGAGAGTAAGTAGGCTGGAAGGCTGATGCGGCAGAGGACGGTGAAGAGCAGCGGCCAAAGAGCAGTAGACAGACAACGACCAGAAGCTGGCTCTGATTCTCAGAGCTGAACGTCAGAAGAGACCCACACAGATACAATGCTGTCGAAATGCTGGTACTTATTTGGAGCAGGCCACACCTTTGCGGCCCCTCCTCTCATCTCATTGGCTTTTCCTACAGGTCGCATCCTGGGGGGTGAATACCCTTTCTGATATCTCCCCAGGGAAAGGATTACACTGGATCTCAGCTCATCGTTGCTGCTGTTGTTAAGTGCCATTGACCCATATCGATTACCATGTGAAGGAGAGTCCTCGACACTTGGGCGCCTTTCATTCTCTCTCCAGGTTCATAAGGTTCTGGAGGCAAGCTATTATGGAAGTGGATGCCATTCCTTTTTCCAAGCTTGTTTTAATCGGTCAGCTCCACCCCACTCTGTCTCCGCATTGAGTTGTTGTTGTTGTTGTTGTTGTTGTTGTTATGTGTAGTCGAGTCATTTGTGACTCATAGCGAACCTAAGTAAACAGCCCTAAACCCTGCTCTATCCTGTGCCAAAACAAAAACAATGAAAGAGAGGCCTGAGGGCCGCAGATTAAACGCCACCCACCTTTGGCTTGGTAGCCTCGCTTTCCGTCCACTGGGTAAGCTGAGCTCTCTCTCATGGGCAGAGCAAACTTGGGAGAGCATGGCCGCCGTCTCTCCCCTCTTCCTCTTCTCCTTTTGGGTTTGAAGCCCTCTGCTGCTGCCTTAAACCCTAGGCCAAGCCTGGCTTGCCTGGCTCCTGGGAGAACAGGAATGACTAATCCATGACGGGGGAAGCAGAGGGTCACTATCCACCTGAGTTCCCACCCACTTTAGCTATTACGCATTTGTTTCCTTAAGCCTGGACAGCTTCCAGACCAAAGGATGAAAGTGAAATCTATTCCAGAATAGGTTTCCCACTTAGGAAATAACAGGCCCTCTACAGCCTTATAAATAAAACTGGAACGTTTTTCCACACTATGATCAAGGATGAACACCTCAGGTTGGAAAGCGCTCAGAATACCTCTGGGGAAGAGTTCTCTTCTCAACCCATAGGAGGAGGAAAACGAGGAGGAGGAGGAGTTGCTAGGTAACCTTCAGTGGAGTAGGCCTCATCCTAACTACATGGACCACAGAACAGACCTCCCCTCACCCTGTCATCCTCACCATTCTCATCCTGCTGGAACGCCCTGTCATAGTCAGTGGGGCTCCCCTGGAATGAATGGAAAGGAGGAAACGATGTAGTAAGAGGGCTAAAAGGCAGACCTAAAGGGTCAGCCCAAGAAGACAAAGCAAAGTGCAGTTTTAAAATAAAACATGTGCAAAGATAAAGAGTTAAAAAACTGAAAGAGAAAAAAAAACTGAAAGAGAAGACAGCACCCAGCATTTCTCTAGCTGAAAGAACTGAAGAGCACATTCAAGTCTTGAATTACAAGACTGGAAGATTCTTCTTAAACATTTTTTTAATTGATATTTTATTCAAAGTTTACAGAAAACTTGGGTATGTCTTCATTTCTTGTTGTATATTTTCCTTCCTATCCCCTTCTGTCCAGTTTACTTTTAGCCTTGAAACTGACATTACTGATGCTTGGTTCTTTGGAGAGGTCCTTGACTGCAGATTTTGTCGATGGAAAAATACTTGAATTTCTTGACAGCTGTTACCATGGATGCTGATTGTAGGTCCAAGTGAAATTAAATCCATGACTTCAACCTTTTCTTCATCTCTCATGATGTTGTCTATGAGTCCAGAGATAAAGATATTGTTTATTTTCTTGTTGTTGAGGTGCAATCCATATTGAAGGCTGTAGTCTTTACTGAGTAGGACAGGGCTTTAAGTCTTCTTTGCTTTCTGCATTATCTGCTTACCATTGGTTAACCAGTCTTCCTCCAATCCTAACACCACGTTCTTCTTTATATAGGAGAACTGCTCCGATTATTTGCCCAGCACACAGAATGGAT